GCTATGTCTTCTACGGAGAGGGGAGAGAGGAGGCTTGAGAGCCTGAGCAATTAGAAAAGGGTTAGGAACAAATAAGTGTCTTGGAGAATGTGGCAGAAGTTACTGAGATGAATAAAAGGATTGCTAAGCATCAGTCAGGGCCACACAGGGTCATTGATCTGGTTGGCAGCTTTCTCCAGGAACAGTGCAGATTATCTACGTTTTGTTTAGAAGAAAATATCATTAAGAGGGTGTTCCTCCATTCACTGGGTATTAGCATAGAGTAAGTCAAGGGGACAAGGATGCTGGGATTTGGCCGTGCTTGAGCAGCTGACCAGCGGGTCAGGCTTGGCACGCTAAGCCCTTCAGGGGCTGTGTCTCTGTCTTCTTCCCCACTTGTCCTCTACCACAGCAACACCTCCCCAGGGATCCAGGGTTCAGCCAGAGACTTTCTTTGTTCAAACCAGGACCTCTCCCACCTCTGCTGCTTTACTTATAAGGTCTGCTCTGCCTGAGTGTCCTTTTTTCCTCTCCCCATAACACTTGATTCCTCTACCTGAATTAGCACTTGCTGTGTGTTCTATTATTTCTGTTTCTTGGCCCACCTTCCCCAGCAGACTGTGAGCTTCCCATAAGACTGTATCTTATTCATCTTATGCCTAGCAATAAACATTTGTTGAATGAAGAGCTGACTTACCTTCTCCATTCCCTATCCCTCCCGTTTAACTTGAGGGATTTGGAAAATGTTTAACTGATTGAATATTGTTAAATAAACAGGCATACAAATATAAGAATGTAAGACATCCCTGTGCCTGAAGACCCAGGAGTTAGTTGAAGAAAAACCCGTACACAAATACATGGTAGGCAGTGGTGAGGGGCATGAAAGGCATTAGGATAAATTGCTGTGGGAGTATAGAGCAGAGAAATCACTTTTATTTAGGGCAGTGCTCTGAGCCCAGAGGATGGGCTCGAAAAGGTATTTGGGGGGAAGGTCTTTGAACTCCCTGGAACTATAATTGCAAAATTTTATGCATAGTGCTTATGTTCATTTTTTTCTGGGAGGAGGGTCCACAGGGGTAAATTTTCGAAGGAATACAAAGCCCCAAAGGTTAACCACTGTAAGGGCTTCTCTCCAGTGGGTCTATTTGGTGCATGGATAGAGGCAGCATATGGAGACTGGGAGTGTTCCTTCACGACACATCCATCTCCTACAGGTATTTCCTTCGAGCCACCATCAGCCGCCGCCTCAATGATGTTGTCAAAGAGATGGACATCGTAGTCCACACACTCAGCACGTACCCAGAGCTGAACTCCTCCATCAAGATGGAGGTTGGGATCGAGGACTGCCTGCACATTGAGTTTGAGTATAATAAGTCCAAGTAAGTATCTGGGGCCCCATGGTTGTGGAGAACTATTGAGGGAGGTTAAGATAGGACCTGATGAGAATACAAGCGGGTGGAGCCTTGGCTGGCTCATAGTGCCAGGCTTTAGGGGAGGCCACTGACCTGGTACTGTGAATATATGTGCCAGGCTGCTGAAAGGTAGACCAGGAAATTAAACTTCATTTTACTTAAACTAAACTGAAATTAAGAAGGTACATTTAAGTTAAATATCCTACATTGTCTTTCAAGGTCAAGCCAAACTGAGGTTATTTGTTGTGGATGTAGATACAGCTCTTTCCTTCTGCTGATGAAAATAATCTCAGAATACCATTCCTGTTAGCATTTGTATCCTATATACAGTATGTCTCTAGAAATCAACATGAAGAAACCACACAACGGCCATAGTTTGCTGCTTCCTCCTGAACTTAAATGAATTATAGCAAAGAACATCTGATGCCTTTTTGTAAAGGTCTTTAAATTATTCTAACTGGCAAGTTGGGAAACCATGTATGTTTTAAACTGTTTGTTGTCCGAACAGGAAAATATTTAAGTGCAGGGCGCCTGGGTGGCTCAGTCGGTTAAGCATCTGCCTTCAGCTCAGGTCATGATCCTGGGGTCCTGGGATCGAGCCCCGCGTTGGGCTTCTTGCTCTGGAGGGAGTCTGCTTCTCCCTCTCTCTCTGCCGCTCCCCCTGCTTGTGCTCGCTCGCTCTCTCTCTCAAATAAATGAATTTTAAAAATCGTTAAAAAAAAAAAAAATATTTAAGTGCTTACAAATCATGAAACTTACTGACACTTCAAAAATGTACCACAAGCATCTTTCTTTTCAGTATATAATACAGTCCTAAAAATGTTTGAAAATCAGATACACAAAAGTAAAAGTGTATTCTATTCACAGAGAGCTAAAAAAAGAAATTAAGAGTCTCTAGGGTTCTTACCGGGGAGACCCTCATATCAGACCCACTATTATCCAGGGGGTCAGATAGTGGGGGTTAGGAACAGGGCTTTTTTAAAAACTAGCTACATACGTGCTTCCTAGAACAGGGGTGAGGGGAAAGGCCTGTTTTTTCCCCCTGCTCCTGGCCTGGAACCACTCGTGACCCAGACTGGGCCCTGCTTGGTGAGGCCCCACCTATGGAATGGGGTGGGGCAAGCTGGAAGGGAGGTTGATCTGGGCCAGGCAGGGACACGTAAGGAAGCAGCCCTCTGCCCCTTTCTCCTCACAGCCTCAGGGCTCTGTGGGCCTTCTGGAAAGGAGCCACCAAAAGTGCGTGCCCACCCCCGCTCCAGCTACCTAGTAAAAGGGGTGGCTGGCAGGCAGTGCCACCTTGTAGGAGGAGCACAAAATAGCTGTCAGTCAGCACGATGTTGAAGACCAAGTGTGGTATGTGAAGGGCGCTCCGGTAAGTCCATCCCCTGACCTCAGGAACTGGATGTCCGGACCTGTCCTGCCTTCTCAGAGCAGGCTGCCGTGTAAGGGCACACTGTCTATATCATACAGTCCCATTCTGCCATTAGGGATTGCCCTAGGGGTAAGATTAGCAGGTACTATCATGTTTGTGGAGACAGGCTAGTGGGTTTCAAACACATACAGAAAGGATGGAGTGAAAGAAGAGTGGGGCCCAGGGTTCTAGGCCCTCCACAGGAGTTTCTCATGTATTAATGCCTCCACATAGGATTTCATTTAGAATAAAGGAATGTTCCATTTATCAAAGTTTGAAAACCCCTAGGATCTATGATCTCTTAGCATTCCTTCTAAAATACTGCGAGCAGCCTCCATTTGGATTTTGTAAGTGTTCTTAGATTATATACTGAGAGTGTCTGCAGTCTTCCCAGTTAGACTGTGAGCAGAAAGGCAGCATGAAATAGTGGGGAGAACACAAGCCTAGAAATTAGGCACCTGGGTTCATATCCTGTGTCTGTCCCTTACTCAAATCCTGTTCAAGTGTCTTTCTTCTTTGAACTTCCTTTTCTTCACCTGTAATATAAGGAGGTTAAATTCTAAAGTCCCTGCCAACACTCCTGTCCCATGATTCTGAGCTTCAGGTTTGAAGATTTTCCTCTCTTCCTATATGCCTGATACAGGGCTGTGCTCACGCAGAGCCCTGGTACTCCAGACTAACTCAAAGTGAAATGCTGGAAAGGTCAGAAAGCGTTATGCAGCATGGCCAAATTCATAACAGCTCACAGAGCACAAACCATGTGAGCAGGGCCCAGGGAGAAGGTGCTGATGGAGCATAACACATGCATCTTGCTCAACCGCTCCTGCCTGGGCTGTCACATCCAGCAGACAAAACTGTTTGCTGCAGGCGATTGAGGCCCAGTTCCCAAAAGACATTTTGTGAGCTCGGAGAGAAAGAGCAAGACCTGGTTCCTACATTTGTGGGGCTGGCCTCCCATACATCAGGACATCTAAAGCAATACAAACACAAAAGGTATAAAAGAAATAAACGTGCTGAGGAGATAGATCAGATGGGCAAGCTATGATAGAATGGGTGATGTAACATGCAAGAGTAACATCCTGTGACTTGCATATGGAAAAATGGGACAGAAGTTACTGTGATTCCAATAGAAAACATACTGGGAAATCATTCTGCAAGGGCAGTTGTGGTAAGAACATGGGTGAGTGTGCACTGTGACTCCATCTTCAGCCAACCCGCTTGGCAGTGTCCCCTCCCCCAAAACCCAGGAGACCTGGAAATGTGCAAAGTTTGGCTGCCATATTCACATCTTATTTTCTCTTCCCCAGATACCACTTGAAAGATGTCATTGTAGGAAAGATCTACTTCCTCTTGGTGAGAATCAAAATCAAGCACATGGAGATAGATATCATCAAGCGGGAAACGACGGGCACAGGCCCCAATGTGTACCACGAGAACGACACGATAGCCAAGTATGAGATCATGGACGGGGCACCCGTGAGAGGTGAGCACCCTAGCACGCAGCCCGCAGCTGCCTCACCCATTCTCCAAGGCCCCGCACAGAGTTTTGGAGGGGCTCGAGGGGTTATACTGCTAAAGTAAGATTTCCTATTCACCTACTTTCTCATCTCAAATTGTTCACTGTGGATCCCAATAAACAGGAAAAGGAAGGCTGGGTATGTGGAACTCCAAGTTCCTTCCCCATCTTCACCCAGAAAAGCTCCACTTTGGCCTCGTCTACATACTGAGCTTGTATTGGAGATTGCATCTCAAGAGTTATGCCTCTTAAATAACAACAAAAGCTTGAAGAGTACTGGCTTAGCAGATACAATTTGAACATTTTACTACTTTTTCCTGTTGGCATTCTCTGCTGCTAGGGAGCAAGAGATGAATGCAGAATAATCATTTGTGTTCCTCAGTTCTAGCTCTGTCAAAATGATTCGTTCTCCGAATTCATTCACCAGTGTAGATACTCTGGGCAGCACTACCAGGTGCCAAAGCCAACCCTGGGAATGGGACAGAGAACAGCACCGCCCTGCCCACCCCCAGGGCTGACATCACATCTGGAATGAATGGAGTTGAAAGCTTTGTTGTTTGGGGAATCTGATTATTTGGGAGTAGCAATCTTTATGTTCTTTTGGCTCCACAGCCACTGATCATGAAGAATGTATTTTTTCATTTCGAAGTGCTTGGTGATGCCACGGTTTTATTCAGCTTACCCCAGGTGTGTGTTCTATGTGGAAGGAGGGGACAGTGACCGCAGGTTCTTGAGTGTCACCATGCAGGCCCTTGCGGGGGTAGGACTGGGCTCTCCTGACTCTCTGTACGTGCCATTTTTTCACCAGTTGTGCAAGTAGAGCGACTTGTCATTTTCTCTGAGAAATAAGACAAAACAGCAGATAATTAATGGCACATTTTATATTTAGCTTTAGACTACATTATAGGTTTGGCCTTTCTCAGTAGATTTACTGCCCTAATTTCATTTCACTTAAATTAGGAAAGGCAGGTGTTAGAGCTGAAAGAGATCAAAAATACCATGTAGTCTGATTCCACAGGTTTCCACAAGAGAAAATTAAGGTCCAGAGAAAGCAACAGACTAACTCAGAAGTCATACAACTGGTTAATGGAGAACTAAGGCCAGAATGAGGATTTTCTCTTTTCCAGACCACTATACCACCATGCCAATCCATCTCAGAGTGCAGATGTATTTTGGGGGCCATACACTATTTAGGATGGAGGAAGGTGGCATCGAAATTGCTGGGTGACATGATGAGTTAGCTGGGGTTTGACAGTTGGCTTGTGAAAACCCAACAACTAGACACATTACATATAATCCAAAGATGCTTAGTAGTAGTATCCTGTGCTGTTCATACTTACGGGTCTCTGCGTCAGGGCGGTGAGAGAAGACACAACGGGACCTGGAGTGGCACTGCAGAGTCACGTTTTTGCTTCAGCAGATCACTGAGCTGCAGAATGCGAATTCCCACCAGGCAGAAGCATTCCCTTGAGTGTGCCATGACACGCTCAGGTGGCATCTCCCCTGCTGTGGGCAGAGAGTGACTTGGTGTCAGGTTGGGTGGGCCACTTTGCCCTTCGCTCTGATACCTGCCTGGCCCTTACAGGAGAGTCCATTCCGATCCGGCTCTTCCTGGCGGGCTACGAGCTCACCCCCACCATGCGGGACATCAACAAGAAGTTCTCCGTGCGCTATTACCTCAATCTGGTGCTGATAGACGAGGAGGAACGGCGCTACTTCAAACAGCAGGTGAGTCCAGGGCACCTCCCCAAGACCCCTGGCGGCCCTAGAGCCAGAACAGGAAGGGCTTCATTCCTGCGAAGATCAGATTCCATTTCAGACAGATTCAGCAGAATGGTACAGGGGAGAGAGTTTACTAGTCTCTGTGCCACTTGTTGGTTCACCAAGAGGGAGTCCCACAGCAAGAATGGGGGTTCCCACTTGACACGTTGAGTCTGCTAACTCAGGCCCAGGCCCTGCGACCACTCTACCCTCCCTGCCCACACCATCAGACGGAGCCCTGGGGTGGTATGGACAACTGCTCTCATCAGGGAGAGAGAAGCAGAGGAGAAAGTTGGAGCCTCTGGGAACCCCCACCCCCATGCCTCCCTCTCAAGGTAGCATGTTGCCCACCCCCCCCCCCATTCTGCAGGAAGTGGTGTTGTGGCGGAAAGGTGACATCGTACGGAAGAGCATGTCCCACCAGGCAGCCATCGCCTCACAACGCTTCGAGGGTACAGCCTCCCTGGGTGAGGTGCGGACCCCCAGCCAGCTGTCTGACAACAACAGCAGGCAGTAGGCCCCCAGGGCCAAGAAGCTGCTGGGCTTCCACCCCAGCACCCCCGTCTACCAAACACCAGCGGCTGGGGGAGGGGGAGGACAGTGTGATGCTCAACTGACCCGTTACTTGCAACCTGAAAACAAATCGTGTTTTGACTTAAATTCTTTTTTCTGAAGAACCTAAGGGGCTCGGGTTGGGAGGCAGTCCCCTTGAGATTCTGCGGCTGATGTGGGAATAGGGAGAGGTAGCATCCCGGTAGCTGGTCTCTCTGGGGAAAAGAGCCTTCTGTTGAGGCCTTCCGTGTGCAGCTGCCTTGCATTTTACAGGAGAGCAGAGAGCGGGCATCCTTGGCTCCTGGGTCTCTGAGCTTCCTGATACAGGATCTGAGCATGTCCCTGGGATTCTGAGCTGCCAGCAGGGCCCGGGGTAGTCACATCTTATTCTCTCCTCTACTATCCCTACCCTATCCTAAATGGCAGGGGTGGGGGGAGACTCAAGATCAGGAAGCTACCTCTTTGGGAGTCTTGGATGTGGTGCTTTGAAGTTTCCACAAGCCACCTCCTTTCTGGCCTCTCACTGCTGGGACCCAGGCACCTCCCTTCTCCGTCTTCTACAGACTCTTACCAGTAACGTCCTGGAACAGAAGCCTCTGGAAGGGCCTTTGGCTCTTGTCCCCTCACCTGTGAGAAATTCTGGGCACAGAGACACCCTGGGGTCAGGGTCATGCATGAATGGCAGCAGAGTTGAACCCAGGAGGCCGAGCCGGGCCCACTGAGGAAGAAGTATGGTGACTGTGCGTGGTGGCTGTCTGCCTTCGCCCCGTGACTGTGCTCCCCAGCCCCTGGGGCTGGATGGTTCTAGGGTATTGCTGTGTGCTACGGCAAGCCTAAATAAGGGCATCTGTTTCCTTTAAGAGATCCCGGGAAGGGGCCTTGATCTCTTGGCTTCCCTAAGAATGGATCCTCATCACTCCTTGCTCTCCCCCCATTTAGTTTCTGGGAATTGGGGCTTGGAAGTTTCTTACTGTTGCCCATGTCCCCTCACTCTCTGAGTTCCAGGAGGGAGATGAGAGCCTCAGCAGAAGACTCTGCTACACAACTTCAGAATAATTCAGCTTGCCAAATTATGTCTTCATCTTCACCAGTTGACTGACCAGAGTTTAGGACCATTGATGTTTTTGTTTAAAAACGTATATAAAAACTCTTGTGGGTATTCTTGTTACGCTAAAGGAGAAGGGGACATCCCTCTGTTGCACTGTGAGTGGGCCTATTGGAGTAAAGGTGTTGACATCCTTTTCTGCCTCATCTGGAAATGACCTGTGGGCCTCCCTTCCCTTCAAGCAGACCCCACTGGCCAGTAAGTACAATATTTGGTGGTCCAAGTTGTCCGTAATTGGGAAAGCAGAGGGGTTGGTTCCTGTGTCATTCTTTAGTGTGGAAAATTTGGACTCCTCTTTTCCTCAGAAATCAGTGCAGTCATGGGCCTCTGACTGGGCAGGGCTCCTGGGTCAGGACTGTGACTGGTGGAAAGGATACTGGGATGACACTTGAGGTTGACTGGGGACAGCAGAACCAAGGAAAGTAAGGTGGTTCCCCCCCATGCTGGACCGAGTACAGGTGCGACGGACAATCCCATGGGATCAGGATTACTCATCCAGCTGCCCCTGGATTAGCAAGGTTGGGCCTTAAGTGTATGGGGGAGGCAGGTTCTGTGTTCCTTGCCTTTTCCTCAACATGAGATGAAGCTCTGGTGTGCCTCCCATAAGAGCTGGTATTCTAACTAAAAGGACCTGTTAATTCCTCTGCCTCCCAACTGACAACCCAAATTCATTTTCCAACTTTCCTAACATCTTAAACCTTTCTTCTGGGAGAACTAGAAGGTAGAATTTGATTTTATTCTCTCAGGAGCTGTGCATAAGCCAGGTCTTCTGTTTTCCCTCACTCTGCCCCCATTCACTCCTTGTCTGTGCAACTGTGGAGGTGAGGGGAGGCCCTGCCCCCACCTTTACAGATCCCCATACCTGGGAGTGCATAGGTACTAAACCAAGCAGTGCAACTTGTAATTAAGCAGCTGCAGTGTTTACATGTTTCTTAATGTGTCGTCTTTTCAATGGCTGTATTTAAAAAAAAAAAAAAAACACTTGTTTCAGTTGTCTCTGATTAAAGGAAGCCCCTGTGGCTTGGAGGCATTGTGCCCATGGTCCACCAGGGTCTGTGGTTTCTTGTCTTACACTATCCCACTCACACCCAAGGGGCGATAGACTCCCACCCTGATCCAACACAACACCTGCCTTCACCATAGCTGTGGTCCCTGGTGAAGTGGTGTTTTATTAACACCCGTTTTAGACAAGCACATGCTGAGAAAGGAATTCCAGTTGTACCCTCATCTGGCAACCTGTGCTGAAACTGCTGATGGTTTACACCCCTATGGGGCCCGGACGACTTCAGGGGCAGGTGTGGAAGGCCGGTGTAGAAAGACGAAAAGTTCGTTTCAGTAGGTGGTAACAGACTGAACCCCGCACCCTGGTATTTGCTACAATAAAGGAAGATGGTAGAGGTAAGCTTGCACCTTACCGAGCAGCAGAAGTTCTGCAGTGGAGCATTCTATTCCAATGCCATTTTAAAAGGAAAGCTTCCCAACTTTGATATTAATGTTTTATTGGAAAAGGTACATGAAAACCACCGATGTACACAACCCCAGGTGAACATAACATGCAAGCTGCCGCACACCTTCTTGTGTCTTATAAAAGCTTGACTTGAGTAATGGCTTGCCCATTCCAGCAACAGTGTCCCAGTTAACTTGGCTCCTTTTCTTCCAGGCTCAAAATAAAATCAAACTCCTCTACCAAAGAAGGGGAGAAGAAAGCAAAGTTTTAGGTGTGTGTCTCCTCTTGAATAGGGAAGTTGTGCCGGGCATTTCACACTGTTACTGAGGCAGGTAGTCATTCATTCAAAAACTATTTATGGAGTATTTTACTATGTGCCAAGCACTGCTGGGTGGTGGGGGTACATAGTAATGGGTAACTCCAGACACGTTTCCTCCCTCATTGATGTTACAGGTGAGGAGACAGGCTCAGAAAAGTTAAATACTGTGCCCAAGTTTAATCACTAGTACATATGAGTTCATGGAGTCCTCCTGGTATGTGGATAATATAAAGCAAAGGTCCTGCTCTTACCTGGAGTCAGGGGCTGAATTGAGAGTCTCTGGCGAGTGAAGAGAGCCATATTTTTTAAGGGGCCTCCAGTGGTTTTGTGAGCTTGGTAATGGGTTTTGAGCTCAGCCAGGGTAATGTAACGCTTCATCATCCGAACAAACTGTACATCCACCTGTATGACAGAAAGATATGTTCAGGTAGATTCTGTCCACTGTGTTTTAGCTTCTTGTGGGAGGTTCTTATGGGCAGGGCTGCCACTGTTCTGTTCTTATCCCCAGAGCTAGGGTAACCTCATCTGAGTGTAAGACCCGGACTCTGTACCTTAACCTAAAGACACCACACACCTTCTTCCTCCCTCTCTTTGTCCATCCTTTTCCTCTCATGAAATAGGAAAAATAGTTGTCTTTACCATGGACCATTTGGGGTTGTCTTCTTTGCTGGATGGGTCATAATGGGGACTGTTTTTCTCAAACTGTGTGTGGTCTGGATAAGCCTCCTTCACAATCTGAAACCAAAACCAAGTCTCTAATCATATGCCTGTACAGTCAGCTCCATGGCCAATTTTTAATTCAAGTCCAGCTTTCACTTCTGACCCTGCACACACTCAGCTCTTTTGTTTTGCTATAGAGCCACTATATTTGGAAATAATACGCAGTCTAGAGCAAGCATAGGAAATCAAACCTGTTTTGACAAAAATCTTAAGAGTAGGTTTTAAAACCAAGTATTAAAGGTTATTATTGGTACCACTGTTTTTCCACCTGCAGGTAATAATCTTTTCCTAATAACTTCTGGTTTGGAAGAGCTATCATCAGGTCTGCTTTTGAGTGAAAGACCAAGGCACAGAAGTGAAGAGAAGTCTGTACCAGTGGGACCTGAAATGAGGCCTGCCTTGTTATAGTCCTTGCTGTATTGAAGGGGCCAGGGTGGTTTTTCCATATTCTTGTGACATCAGGGATGGGGAGGAGAGTACTTCCTTTCTGTTACTGATCTAAGCTGTGTTCCTTTAGATCTATATGAATAAGTCTCCCTGAAGGGAGAGGGATTAAGACCAACACTTGTACAACTAACCTTCACAAGTCCTGCGATGCCTGGCTCTTTGCAGTTGCTATGGTAGAAGAACGCTTCTTGCTCCAACTGCATGGCTCGAAGGAAGTTCCGGGCCTACCCCAGGGGAAAATAAACAACTATCCTCTTCACCCGCTGGAAAACACTAGTTAGCGGAAATCAAGTCTGCTTTTATTAGATGAGTTTTTCTTTTTTGCAGCTTCTCCCCAATTCAATACTTGCCTTTGCCAAGACACCCAGACTTGTATGCAGACACTGGCCAGAACACAGGCCATTCGTAAACTGCATACAGAGGAATCAAGGTGGTTTTGAATACATGTTTAGGGTTAGGATCTGGGGAAAAAACAATGTTGGCCAAGAGATTTTGCTACTGAATAAGTCCTAGGAAGGAGGCAGGCATTTCTCCGACCCCGGGTCTCGGGCCCTGCTCTTACCCTCTTACCTGGTAGTTGCGAACACCATCCCAGCATGCTGTCTGCTTGGGCTGTGCTTGAAGATCCTCAATGCTAAACTAGGCAACAGGAAATGAATTCATTCCTTAAACAGTCTTGGGGCCAGTTGGTAATATATGGAAGTAGACAGTTTCTTCCCCTGTGTTGAGGATACTTCTTGCTGTAGTGGAAGCCTGTAGTTTACTGGGAAGTGGTCCCACAGAGCCACTTCTATTGGGCAAATGGACAGTAAGCTTTGCACTCCCTTGTTATCCTTGCTAATTAAAAGGACTAGATGAATAGATAATCTAGATGATAAAATAATCTTGGTTATTTGTATTTCACTCATTAAAGTATTATATATTTCTATTTTCTCTAGGCTGTTATTAAAATTGATTTATATTAATTCACTGAAGATACAGTTGGCAGAGAGATACGTAGGAGTACGGTAGGTGGCAAGAACAAGGCAACAAGATTGAAATGTTGCCCAGGTCAGGGGTTGACAAACTACAGCTTTGTGCCCACGCCTGATTTTGTAAATAGTTTTATCAGAGCACAGCCACACCGTCTGATTACATGTTGCCCAGATCCACTTTCTTGCCAACACCAGAGCTGAAAGAGCAACCATAGGACCGGAAAACCTAAAATATTATCTGGCCTTTTATGGAAAGTTTGCCACCCCCTGCCCTAGATAGAGGATTCACAAAACAGATAGTTGCTGGTAATAAGTCCTGCTGATTTTATTCCTTATAATCTTTTCCCTAACCCTACCCTTCAGAGAAGCTGGTGATGGAACCCTGTGGTGTCCCATATTCACTTCTTATCTGAAAAAACAGCTTGAAGGGATTAGAGGTACCTGGTCTCACCTTCACATCTACACCTTTTTCTAGTCGGCTTTCTGGCTCGGACTTCATCAGCCAGTAACTGCTTAGATTCTTCCCACAGTTTTTAGAGGCTGAAGTCTTCTCAGGGCTGGAGTTACCCATTGTAGCTGATGCCCCTACTGGGTTCTTAGTCTTGGTACGTTTTCCTGCTGGCCCCTTATTGTCTGCAATAGAAGCAAAAAGAAGAAACTGGTCATGCCTGCTGAGAAGTAATGCTCCGTTGTGGGGAAAGCACATGCTTTGGAGTCAGACCTGGATCCAAATCCTGGATCTGTCAATAACTGGCAGTAGCAGCTGAATTGCTGAACTTCAGTTTATCTAGAAAAATGACACAGGAATGCCCACCTTACAGGGTATCTCCTGGATTATACATTCAGTGAGATAAGAATAGAGTACATGGTTGTGGGTTAGGACTGACAGAGTCCCTGGTTTCTACTAAGTAAATTCTTTTCTTTCCCTCACTTCTGGGCCTTTGCTGAGGCTCTCTCTACAATAAGGAAACCGAGCACCTACTCCACAGACTTATTTTGAAGATTAAATAAGGTAGTGTAAACAATGGACTTAAATAATGGCTGACATTATAATAAATGCTTAGTAAATACTATCATCACCATCTCATGGTTCTTTTTTGCTTGCTCACTGTGCTTTGTGGCCTGCTCCTTGAAGGTGCCAAGAAATGTTGGATAAGACAGCTCATTCTGGTCTTTGTAGACGTGGCAAAGACGATTTTTTCCAAAGAGAATTAGAGAAAATGTGCCTGGAACATAGTAGGCACTCAACAGCTAACAGTTGTTCAATTCTTACTATATAAGCTCTATTTGTTACCCTAACAGTAACTCAGTTAATCTACATAATGTATGAGATGTCTGTTCATCTGCTAAATGTGTCCCAGGTTACACATTTTAGTAAACCGTATAATCAGGAACCGTACCCTGGTCTATCTGAATCCACACTTAATGACTATACCACACCACCTCTGAATTAAGTCCCAGCTCCTACATCAGCTCTCATTAAGTATCATTTATAGATGTCTAGTAGTTAAATCCTCCCTAGCTTAGTTTTTAGGTGGTCCCTTTGGAGTTAAGCACACTGCTAACACCATTATGTGTTGCTAAATAACACAATGTGTTGTAGTCAGTCCAAAAGCACTTTCTCTACCTTCATTTGCTTTGTTCCTGTTCTTCATCTTCCATATAAGATGAATATAAAAACAGCATCGCATTTTCTTTGGCTGTGGAAAGCTTTCCCATTCTTTAAGGATGGACTCAAGTTCCACTTCCTTCTCAAGGTGTTCCTCCCTGCTCTCATACCCTTAGCCATGGTTTCCTAAGACCCTTTCACTTATGTCTGTTTGCATTTTCCATGAGAACACAACTGTATGTTCCTTACCTTTGTACAAGCCACCATGTATCTACACCAAACAGCTACTGCTTCAATAAACAAACAGTAGAGGCTCTGGGTATAAGCTCGGTGGGAAGAGGAAAGGAGAAGATGGAGGGCAATTAAGGAAAACATTAACAAAAAACAATCCACAAAGGATACTCCCCACAGGCAGGGAGTTGAAAGTGAACAGTATTTCTTTTTTAAGATTTATTAATTTGAGAGAGAAAGAGTGCGTGAGAGCCTGGGTATGAGCAGAGGGAGAGGGACGAGAAGCAGACTCCCCGCCGAACACGGGGCGCAAGTGGGGCTCGATCCCACCCAAAGAGTATAACCTGAGCGGAAAACAGGAGTCCCACGCTCAACCGACTGAGCCACCCAGGTGCCCCGAAAGTGAGCAGTATTAAACAGATCCTACAGAAACTTTGTTTACAGGGCTGCCTTTTTGCAGCCTGGGTGCAGCTCACCTGGCCCATCAGGCCCAGCAGCCCCGGCGAGCCTCTTCCGGGGTTTCGGCATGGTTTCCCTGCGGGGACTGAAGAGCAGAAGATTCCAAATCAACCGAGAGAAACAAGACGCAGCTCCGTTACCTGCCCCCAGAAACCTGCGCAGAGCAAGATGGAGACAATGAGAGGAATCGGAGTCTCAACCCCGAGGGGTTTTTGCGGAGAACAGATGCAACTGGACTTGGGACCCTCAAATCTTTCCCAGTTATCTACGCCCCCATTTCCATCTTGCATAACCTGCGCTAGAGTCTCCTCGGTTCTCTCCCTGATCCTCATACATTCACCATTCTCCCGAGCCACTGATTCCACGACTCCGCAGACAGAACCCCACCCAGGCGCCGGAAGGCCGGCGCTGAGTCCCCCCGTCTAAGTAACACACGGCCCTTTTTCGCCACGGCCCTGGGATATCTGGGAGTGGTAGTCCTGCTCCTCGGGCAGGCCCGCCTGAGTCCGTGCCGTGAGGGCCGCCGGATGCACTACAGCTCCCAGGGTGCACTGGGGGGCCTGGTAGATGCACTGGCGCCGGTCCACCGCCGGCGGGTTCTGGCTAGAGGAGAGGTTGCTGCCATGTTGCGGAGCGGCTGCTGGCGGCTGAGAGGGTGGCTCTACGGCCCGCGCGGCGCTCTGCGGGGTTCTGCCGAGAGCGGCCGCCGGGGCTTGGTGTCCTGCATAGATCGTAAGACTCACCCCGCCGGTGCAGCTGTCCGGTCCCCGGGCGGGGAGGGCTGAGGGCCCACAGAGCGCTAGTCACCCCCGGCTCCCCCTGGGCGGTCACCTGGGCCACCCTCCCCGCCAGGCCTACCTGCCCCCTCCCGAGTGGGCTTCCTCTGCCGGCTGGTGTCCCCATTCTGTCCACCTGGCTGGCTTCTCTGGCCGCCCTCACTCCCTGCGGTCTCCATCTGTTGCGCCCCTGGGCCTTTCTGGTACTCTTCACCGGCCCCCAAACTCCTGCGCGGGAAGCCTGGCGTCCGAAACACGTGCTCCAGGCGGTCCCCCGGCTTTTTAGCTGTCTTCCCTCCTGCCCACGTCACAGGGGCCCTCTGAAGATAAATGAAGATGGGAAAATGTAACTTAACCTTTGTGGCTGATGGTATTTGTTAATTCTTCAGGTCTTCCAAAAACGTAGTATCAGCCTCTTGATAATCAGGTTTAATAAGTAAATTGATTTACTTATGAATACACTAACCAAGGGTTTGGTAATGATCCTCACAACTCTGAGGCAGATTCTCTTATTATCCTTACTTTCAGATAAGTAGTGGGTGCATAGAAACTCCTGACTTTGTTTTGTTTTGTCTTGTCTTAATCCTAGATCATTTACAGTCGGGTAGTAAAGATGTGAATAGCTTGGGGCTGGTTGTGGTAGATGAAGCACTGTTACTTCTTTAAGTGATAGAAGATTTGATCAGATAAATTTTGTGATTTACCACCTGTAGTTATAAAACACTTTTACTGTTGAAATTCCCGTTGAAAAATAATTATTATTGAAAGTGGAAAACTACCCACAGTACACAGACCTGAATGTCTTCAGGCACCAGGCAAATAATTTGGATGTGAGTAACGGAGAGTGATGGGGGCCTAGGCCCACTGGGAATACCCAGCCACTTTGTGACTCTGTCCAGTGCCTCATTTTTTTTCTTCTGAAAAAAAATTCTTTTTAATAAATGTTGCTCTTCTTTATAACAGATTTGGTATGCATCCCTTAGATTGACACCCAGATCTATGACATACACTAGTATAGAATACCGTTTTCTTCTCCGTGTCCTACAACTCCTTCACAAGGTGCTGCCCATTCTAGCAATTAGAATTAGGTAAACAAGGTCACCCTTGCTGATACCAAGGCAAATAAGGAGTTGTCCTGGCAACAAATAGATTAAATATTTAATAGGCTAGTATTAAATAATAACAAACAGTTTACATATGCTGGAATATTTCCAGCAGCTGGTTGTGTAGCTTCAGCCAGTGAGGTACTTTTACACCTTTTTAAAAGAAAGTACCTTTTGGGCGCCTGGGTGGCTCAGATGGTTAAGCGTCTGCCTTCGGCTCAGGTCATGATCCCAGGGTCCTGGGATCGAGTCCCGCATCGGGCTCC